AGCGGTCTCATCTGGCTTCTATTCCGAAGAACGATTACAGAGAATCGAATTGAAATCCGAGATTTGTATGGGCGGAGGGAACAACACAACACAACACAATAGAAAGGGAATCAATACGGCCAAGAACACTGCACGCACAACACAGAAATTGAAGAATAAGGATTGTGGAACCGATCCGATGAAGAAGAAGAAAAGTTTTACTTACCAAATAGAAAACAAAGTTGTTGGAAGAGAAATTAGCGAAACCAAAATAATATTGTCCGAAAGCTTACGATGAAACGAGGAGGAATTGAGGGGGGAGGAGGAGGAGAGAGAAGGTAGAGAGAGAAGGGAAGACTATGGATTAGTGATGGAGTTTTTTCTTTTTCTTTTCTTTTTCTTTTTGGGTTAATATAAAATAATAATATTTATATATTAGATCGAGGGAGAGGTCGAAATCAAAAGAGGGAATCATATAGATATTATGGAGAAGGAAGGGTGACGCGACTCCAAGGAGAGTGTGGAACACGGACCAATAGGGTTGAAGATTTGTAGGAAGGTCAATTATATGAGATGGAGCGTGTTCCTTCCGGCATTTCACCTCGACCGCCCTATAGATTTCTCATGGAAATTGAAGACGTCTGCCGCAGATCCCTTTCTCTCTCTCTCTCTCTCTCTCTGGAGTCCGAATGGGTGAATCCGACCCACCCGCCTCGCTCATCATAGAACAAAGCCCATAACCCAACAAGTCCATTTCATATCTAGATTTTAATGGGCCCAAGGCCCGAACCCAACTTTGGCATTGCATGGAGGACTTGCACAAGTGGGTTGACTTTGGCCCTGGTTGGAAAATCATCGTATATTGTAAGACTCTTAAAAAGTGCAAAATTTAAAACTAATAACTATTTTTTAAAAGTTAGTGTCAAAATTTAGCCATCCACTTAAATTCTCCCACTATATATTTCTATTTTACACTTTGATTTGTAAATTCAAAATGCCTTTCAAAAGTAACCATTTTTTTTCAACAATTTTTATATCCTGGAGAAACTTTATTTAGTGTCGGGTTAAAACGTAATTAAAAAAAAAAGAAAAAAGAGAGATAGAACGATAAAATAAAATAACGAATCACTTTGTAAAAGTGCAATGACCAAAACAAACATTACAAAGGTGGATGAAAACTAAAAGTACAAAGATAAAAATGAACTAAGGTTGAAATTACATTAACCAAGTTAGTATTTAAACCTAATATTTTCCTCTGCATTTCACCTATATCATTATCAAACAAATACACAAGTAAATTTGCATATACAAAATAATGGAATGAGATATCCCACATAGCCAAAAGATTACAAAAAAGCCTCCCAATCGACAGAGATATACTTACGAGTGTCTTCTTGTTTCCATATGCTGAATCTTTTAAAATTGTACCAATATTGTGTTCTGAGTCAAGACTCAACAATATTTCTCCCGACAATGAAATAATTATGGTTTTAGTCAATAAATTTTATAGATGGTTACATACTCTACAAAACATGTTTGCATGCTATCAAGATGGTATAAAACATGATTTACATTACCTCAAGATTTGGATTCCCGGATTGAAGAGGCTCATTGTTTTTACTCTTCTTCACAAGCTCTTTTGCTACAGCTGAAGAATAAGGAAGCAGATTCTCCACCATTGGTTGCAATTCTGAACCGCTAATACGCAAGACAGAAACAGCCTTCCCCACTGATTCTTGCACTTTCGTAAGCTTCCATGGCCAATTCATCTTGACTAACATTCTATACATTTGTTCTTTGCAGGCATCCTAAATCAGCAGAAAATCGAGGCAAGGACAGGAAGAATTGCCCATGCCTTGTAGAGACATTGTTGGATCGATCTCATAGCATCATTTCTTGTATTCATCTTCTTCATCTTCTTCTGGACATCCCGATCCTAGACTGCCGCTTCTACTTCTCGAAATCTTCTTCATGGTGCCAAGTAATTCTGGTGATCAGCAACGATCATATACTTCACTTTGCACTCCAGTTCCACAGGGCAATCTGTAGCGCTCAACGATTCCATGAAAGCAACACCTTCCCTCCTATCCAATTCTTCGATCATCTCGAAAATTTAGAGCAACCTCTCGGTGGCTCGTAAGAGCACCGGCTTCTTCAAGCGTGTCCTTGTGAGAAACAGTATTATCACGACCAACCATGTTGTATTAAGATCTAGAGTAATTACTTTACCTGCATACTACACTACATCCTTTCCTACAATTTAACATAACATCCCTGCATCATGTATTCGAGAAAATCATAAAACCTGAGAGTGGCAAGCAGTAAAAATACAGATTTCAAACTGAAGTTTCAAAATCCATATAGACAGCATCCACTAGGAAGAAAAAAAAAGGAGGGGTCTGTTCCTTCTGTTACATAAACACAATTTGGTTTGACTAGGTATGGCCATTTAGCAAGCCGCCAGTGAGACCACAAAATCAAAAATAACAAAGAATCAACCAGGACCAACTTTGGGGATGTCATAATGCTCACTCATGTTGGCCAGATATTGGTTAAAGTCCTGGATCCGGTCACGATGAGATTTATTAGCTTTCTTGGCCAGTCTATGAACATCAATGCTCTCTTTCTGTTCAATATAACGTCTTTCCGCTGGTGTTAGATGATCATCATAATGAGGAGCCTTCCCATCCTCAGTTGACTTGTTGGCATCATCTATTTCTTCCTCTTCCTCATTCACATCACTTGGCATTTCATTACTTGCACCACTTCCACCTACATTTACCACCAAAACAGATGGTAGATCCAGAAACAACATCATCACGACAAAGAATTTCAAAATTTTGAAAAACACTCATCAGTGATGGTGAGGATCCACTTGAGGCTTGAGGACCATTAAATATTTTGAATTTTATGCCCATCACTTTTACTACTATTAAGATGGCTGTTCAATCAAAAGTAAATTCTAAAACTCTAGTCTACTTATGATTCTTAAAAAGAGAAAAAACGACAAAGGATTGTAATAATATAAAACAAATCTAGAGTGTAACAATTACATCCATGGTCGAAGTTTGATTAAGCTTTCCAACCATTATCCTGCATTTCAAAAACTAACAGTAAGCTGCGTTCAATATTTTTCTGTGATGTCAACTGAATTTTTTTTAGCTTATGGGACATCAAAGACACTGGCCAAAATAAAGCCACGTGACTGCTTTGATTTTAAACTAGCTGATAACAGAAACTGAAAGATTACTTTCGAGTACCTATCATGCCTTAAAGGGAGCCAGAGTCCAGACAAGACAGTCATGAGAACCAGTAGGTAGTTTCTTTCCACCCGGTAAAGGGATTTGTGGCCTACCATAGACGTGGGAATTATTGGAAGTGATGCAGTGGTTTTCACCATTTTAGGGATGAGGAAGGACAATCGGGCTGGCTTTTGGCCACTCTCGAGTCTCCTGGACATCTGGTTGGAGCAGCAGGAAGATCTTTTTCTGGCAGTGTTATGACAATGTCAAAGGTTGGGAGACTTGGGTTTTAGATACTCTTACTACCGACCACTGTGGTTCTGATATTCTTCTGTTTTATACCATTGCCAATTGAAGGTATACTACTATTTGTAAGTCGATATTTGTAAAGTAGTTTTTTTTTTCCCTTTATTAGGCAACTTCCTAGGAAGTGGCCCTGATCTTGGTTGGTGCCATACTCAGACTTGCCATCTTATTTGTTTGACTTTCTTATTCTTCATATCCTTTCTTATCCTTCCTATCCTCAATAGAAGTTATATTTCATTATTTTGTATTAAGAAACCAAGTAACTAGAGTCCATCAGAACAAAGAGGTTGACACGTGTTCTTATCATCATGAAACATGGTTACGCAACATGAATTTCAGAATCTACTTAATCGAACCACCATGATATAAGGTATAGCGTGGGAATGCCTACAGAGACATTCAGATTCACATAGACATTTATCTCAACCAACTCACATTAATATAAATATGCAGCCACTGATATCCAAGCAAAATAGTTCCAGCAATAATTGAACGACAAACCTGTTGGATGCTCATTTTCCATATCTTGAGAAATTTGATCATGATGCTTTTTAACTTTCTTTTTCTTCTTCACCCCACCTACTTTCACATCAAGAGCTTTCCCTTTAAGCTTCAACTTCCCACCAACAACATTATCATAGGCAGACATTGCCTATTAAAAGGAGAAGAGATTCCTTCAGAGATATAAAGTTGTACTAACTCTAAGTGTAAAATTTCTACAAGATGTTCCATTAGATTTTTAATATTTAATATTTTGTATTTCATATAGATGGTTAGTTAATAAATTTGTTTGATTAGGAAATTATCACATGAATTCTATTAACATGTTTTATTCTTAATCTCACAAAACTAATATCAACTAGGACACTTTTCTTGTAAATGTAGATTTACATTGCTCGTGTTATGATATTTTTATATGACAATGAATTGGGTATTAAATTTTTGACACATGTTGCGTTTTCTTGCAACCCTTATGTTTTTCTTCTCTCGTATCTTATCCTCATGTTCTTGTGAAACATTCATTCTCATTATAGATGGACAATAAATGCAGAACTAATCATCTAACACTGTTAATTGAACAAAGCTCATCCGAGAAACCCTAATCCTAGTTTCTACTCGTTTTTCCCTCCACTTTTTCTCCTTTTTATCCTCATCCTTTCCTTTCCTCCCACAATCGAGCTGACCGCAAGATCATTCTGGCAGTCGTCAAATTCAGAAAGCTGGTGTACATGGAAAATCTTCCATCCGTGATATGACATACAAAGATGTAAAGTTCATATAGACCACCCAGAAAAACCCGGAAACAAGTTTTTAACGTCAAAGCAGAATTACTCAAATCATAAATTAACTAAATTCTTCCTGAAAAGCTTTCAAGTTACAAAGAATCATGCGAACAAGATAAGTAGATAGAATAATAGACTTCTAAATAAAGAAAATTCAGGAAGGAATTACGCTAATCACATCTCATAAAATCGTAACCACAAATATATTGAATGCAGAAGAAAGGGGGAAAACTGAAAGCAAGGGTTTCAGAGTCAAACCTTGAAGACCAAATAAAACTTCAGCCCTTCTACGAAGAAGCGCCAACTATTGGGAATATGCAGATTTCAACCCCCTACGCAGTCCTCTCCGGTGGTGATGGTTCGGGCCAGACCCGATTCACAGGTTTTACCCGCTGCTTTTGGAGCAGTAAGAGGTGCCTTGGTGGACCCGGTTAACCCGACTTCCTATGATATTGGGCCGCTTCCATCGTTGAGTTTCAAGCATCTTATCTTTTGCACTTTCGTTTTAAAATATGCGTCATAATATTTGATATTGCATTTTGAATTGAGGTGTTATTATCATTTCAGATACTTATTTTTTTAAAAATTTGAATCATAAAAAATTAATTCAATAATACACATTAAAATTGGTAGAATAGGAAGTAATAAATTTATCTCCTTCAACAATTCAAGTATCAATTTTTTGAATTTATTAAAATGTAATATATTATTTACTTTTTTTGTTTTATACGTTAACAATTAAGGGGAGATCGAATCTACAACCTCAAATAGTTAATTGATGTTTTATTTTATGAGTTATGTTCATATAAACCTATAAATTATTTATTTGGAATATCATAAATAAATTTTATGATTTGTTTTAAAGAAAAACTCATATATATATATATATATATATATATATATATTGGCAAAAAAGCATACATGGCAAAAAAATCAAACAAGCGAGGAACCCTTACAAGTCTAAAAAGTTCCTACTTCAATTATAACAAACCAATAAAAGTAAGAATTATATGGAAAGACAGGTAACAAAAATGAATGAAAAATACTTACGTAATTTTAATGGGGTCGATTTCTCCTCTTTTACAATCAGGTACGTCTTGAAAGAGCGTGAAGTGATAGATTGGGTTGGTCATTCTTCTCGCTGGCTGAAAGGGAAAACACCAAACCATCCAATGTAGAGACGGTTTTTTAGTGCTAGTTATCCAGTTACAGAAACGACCTCATAGGCTTTCGCTTTCACGCTTTACCTTTTTTTAATAGTTCAAGTTTTCGCCATTAGGTGTAGGCGCTTTTCAGAGGTGGAATTTTCGAGTTCTTCCTACCACACACAAAAAATTAACCAAATTTGCCTGATGTAGAGGCAATCAAGAAAGCCGCATAAGTAAATATATAACCTACAAAAAAGTGGGCTACTCCAACTAATCATACATCCGTACATTTCACACCTATCAAGGAGTAGAGAACCCATCGTTGTCTTGGCAAAAGAACCCAACTCGTATTATTAAAAAAATAGAGAAATTAGAACCTAATCAAGATGATACGAACCAATCCCTTCTTCATGCGGAGGTAGAGATTTGAATGTTCAACCTACCATGAAGTTATTAAATTTTAATTCTAAAGTTGTGCTCATATTCATATTCATGCTGACTTTTTGGTGTGATTTATCTCTGGTGGTTAAAAAATATTAGCAAGTCAATTTACTTATTAAATACAGTGGAAATAAAATGCTAAAAATAAATGGTATAAGACAATGCAATGATGAGAGTCGAGACCAAGAGTAATTTATGAGGTGGAGGGACAGAGTTGGGTACAATTATTGATTGATATCCAAAGCTATGAAGCCTCACTCACGTGGGACCCATATTTATATAAACTTTCTCGAACCCTAAACCATTTTTTTAATTTGTAATAAAATCATTTGTCTACTCCAATACTTTTTGAGAAATATAATTCAATTCTGTTGATGCTTGGAGTGCAATTATTCATATATTATCTCTTGAGTTTTGCTTTTTTTCTTTTTCTTTTTCTTGTTTAGTACAACATAAGTACGAGTAGGAGATTGAACTAATCGCTTAGTTGGAGATATGAGTGGCCGTAGGATCACTTTGGCAACCTATGGTTACTAAATTTGTATGGAATAAAAAAATGAGTTTTATAAATAAATTATTGAAACCAACAAATATAATTTGAGTACTAGAAAAACAAATCTAAATTGATATAAATAACTATAAATTAAAAAGAAAAAAAAAAGGTTTTGACGCCACATCTGGTGGTTGGTGAGATGGGGCGTGGGCCCCAGTTTAGATCCAACGATTTATTCAATCTTTTATTATTTTGTCGCCGTATGGACTGTGGACAGAGAACAAGACATGCCACATGCCTCAGATGCGGGCTAAATTCGTAATTTACTTAATTATTTATTTCTGAACTGTCCCAATCATTTAACAGCACTTTTAATGTTAAAATTGACCTTTAGCCTTTAGGAGGGTGATCAATATTTTCTCCATTTTCTTAAAGAAAAAAAAAATGCAAAAGGGGAAACTTGTTCTTGCATAAAGATAGTCAGAAGGATTTGTGGAGTGATTCTCCAAATGATGATTAAACATGCCAAGAAAAAAGAGGAAAAAAAAAAGAGTTGTTCAATATTTGATTTGCAAATTCAAAGCAATGTATTTGGTGCCTACTCAATTGTCACTAAGTGCTACTCCAAGAATCATGACATGAACTATGTAGTAATGGTGAAGTGACTAATAGTAGTTTACTTAAGTACGTACATCTCGACTTGACAATCTTAGATATCAAGGTGATTATGAGTCTCAAGATGTGAATCTTCGATCGTGAACCTCTCTTATGCTGTCACGTGTGAGGTCGTTTTATGCTACCTAACCAAACTATTTTGTTTCATCCGGTAAAATGACACTATTTTGAGGATGAGGAAAGCAAATATGTCATCAAAACACTATTTAATACCTAAAAAAAACATTGCTAAAAAATAAATAAAAAAATACTAACAAAACAACTCTCCACCTATAACCTCTCTCTAACCTTTTTTAGCATCAAGTTAGAAAAATAATAAAATAATAGGTAACAATAAGGTTATCTCAAATTAATCCAATTTTAAACTACTAATTAAACTATAAACTTAAAAGTTGTTAAGTTACGATGAATTTAATTTAGACATTCTACTCTTATATTAGGTTAAATTGTAATTAATCAATCTAAAAGTTAATCCAACATAAAAAAACACAAAAATTAAAATAGATAGATTGCCACTTTAATCAATAATTAAAGCGGTCAAATCTAACGTAACTCAATTGGTTAAGGTAGTTATATCAAACTACAAAGTTGTGAATTAAAATATTCCTCCCCATAGATCTACCTACCTTAACATTCACCCCACCTATTCTACCATAAAAAAAAAAATGGAGATTTGAAGACAAATAAATTTATGATGAGAGAGATACGTATATTTTCAATTATCTTTAAAGGAAAAGAAAAAAAAACAAACAAATGGGGACCGGTCAAACTAAAACGAACTAGTGACAAACAGTTTCACTTCTTTTCAAGAAAGAGGGCGTTTTAGTAAATATCCACATTTCCACCATTTTGGGTAAGACACAGATTCCCTCAGATTTTCCAAACTTTCCAATCAGTCGAAATTTTAATTTTAATTATAAAAAAAAAAAGAAACACAAAGATGCATAATTCATGTATAGAACGAACAGAACAATTTGGCACCATCATATGTGTTGAATGGTTAATAATTGAATGGAGATTTTAACTGGTTGGTAAATAAAGTTTAATTATTCAAAATTTCCCCCACCTTAAACCCATCCCCAACTCCTATTTTAAGCACTCCCCCTTCTCCAGTTTTAAGGGAAAGGGAGGCCCTCTGTTTTCTCTCATTTCAAAATCATTCAACCACCATTCTCATTCCGAGCTTACAGATTGTCTCCTATGGCTTCCTCTTCCGCCAAATCTTTCTTTCCCACTCCCCAATTCGCCTCCTCCCGTAGATCCTCCACTTCCAAATCCCCTCTTCTCTGCTTTCCAATTCCTTCCTCTGCTTCTTCCAATCTCCACGCGCTCTGTTCTTCTTCTTCTTCTTCTTCCCCTTCTCGCCGTTGCGATTCGATTCCTGTCCGGAGCGCGCTGAAGTCCGTGGAATCGCCGGAGTTTGGGGTTCGGAACTCTGATCCGGTGGACCCCACTTCGAGATCGGCGATTTTGGTGGCCGAGAAACTTGGAGAGGCGGGTCTCCAACTTCTGCGGAGCTTCGGGAACGTGGAGTGCGCTTATGAGTTGTCGCCGGAGGAGCTCTGCGCGAAGATCTCTTCGTTTGACGCGTTGATCGTGCGGAGTGGGACGAAGGTGAGCAGGCACGTGTTCGAGGCGGCCAAAGGGCGGTTGAAGGTCGTCGGAAGGGCCGGCGTCGGCATCGACAATGTGGATCTGCAGGCCGCCACCGAGTTCGGTTGTCTCGTTGTTAATGCCCCAACTGCCAACACCATCGCCGCCGCCGAGCACGGAATCGCCTTGCTTACCGCCATGGCCCGAAACGTCGCTCAGGCCGACGCCTCCATGAAAGCCGGTCAGTAATTTAATCTGTTTCCTCTTCCACTCCCCTGTTTCCGGCCACATATTTATTATACTATACCCTTTGTTTTGAACGTTTAGATCTGCTTATATTTAGAAACCCAGGATCCAAATTCCATGATTTTGAACTTCCTTGATTGCTTTGCTTGAGATCACCATATATCAGAGTTGGGTGAGCAGAGTCATACTGTAAAGGCCTCTGTTTTTTGCTGATGCTCAAAAAGTGTCTTTTTCTTTTGTTTTTGTTTTCTTTTTCTAACCCCTGTTTTGGCTGCTACTGTAGTACCATATAGAAAACTACTTCACGAGAATCAATTCCCTCGTCTTGTGAAAGAAAAAGTAGTGAAGAATAAAATTTTTTAATGATACATGGCAAAAGAAAATGTTCATCCTGTTCCCCGCGCCCCGTGGAGAACAAATTCCGTCCTGGGAAAACTTTGGAATAACAATTTAAGGAGAAACTATATGAGAAGGGACAATGTAGTTGTATGACATAGAACAAAACTTTGAACTTGTAAGGAACTATTAGACAACGAAGAAGGAATCTCCTTAAAAAAGAATATATAAAATACTTGTGTGTAGTTTTCTGTTTGTGCTCTAAATTTATACGTACAAAAACGGGCTCACTCTTAAAGAAATTTTCTAGTGCTCCTTAGCATCGTAGACTAATTTTTATAAGAAGGTGAGAGCATGTCTATTATAAATACTGTTAAGTCTTTTACCTGAATAGGAAAATGGGAACGGAGCAAGTACGTGGGAGTTTCACTAGTGGGAAAAACATTAGCAGTGATGGGATTCGGGAAGGTTGGATCGGAAGTGGCGAGACGAGCGAAGGGGCTGGGGATGCAGGTGATAGCGCACGACCCCTACGCGCCAGCGGACCGAGCCAGAGCCCTCGGCGTGGAGCTCGTGTCGTTCAACCAGGCCATATCCACCGCAGATTTCATATCCCTTCACATGCCTCTCACTCCCGCCACCTCCAAAGTCTTCAACGACGATACTTTCGCTCTCATGAAGAAGGGCGCTCGCCTCATCAACGTCGCCAGAGGAGGCGTCATCGACGAAGACGCCCTCGTCAGGGCCCTCGACAGTGGCGTTGTTGCCCAGGTTGTTATACAAAATTGGGTTTTGTAATTTCTACATGATTCCTCTTTGAAGTACTCATTCCATTAGATAATTTCTACATGTGTGTGATGAAATAGGTGGCGCTTGACGTCTTCACAGAGGAGCCTCCGCCCAAAGACAGCAAGTTGGTGCAGCACAAGAATGTGACTGTCACGCCTCATCTTGGAGCCAGCACTAAGGAAGCGCAGGAAGGGGTTGCGATTGAAATAGCCGAAGCCGTGGTCGGAGCATTGAACGGCGAACTTTCTGCCACCGCCGTCAACGCTCCCATGGTCGCTCCCGAGGTAATTCAACTGATCAAATATATTTTTGGTCCTAACGTTTGTCCTCTATTTTGCTCCTGAATTTAAAAATCATCCCCGTTTAGTTTCTAAGATCTAAATTTAGTTTCCATTGATCCTTATTTAAAAAAAATGACATATTGGATTCCTAAAGTTTGAATTTAGTTTTCAATTGGTCCTTAAAATTTGAGATTGCTTTTGAATTGATGTCTAAATTTTAAATTGGTTTCTAATCCGTCCTTAGTTTAGTCGATCATTAGTTAACCTAACAAAACGATGATGTCACAATTAACAAATGTTGACTAGACTTTGTTACTCGGACAAAAGAGAACGAAAATCTTGTAAGATTCACTAATGGTCAACTTAACTCGATGACTAATTAAAAATAAAATTCAAATTTCAAAAGTCGATTAAAAACTAAATTCAAACTTTAAAGACGGAACATGTCACCTTAGAAACTTCAGGAACCAAAATTGGAACTAAATTTAAATATCAATGATAAAAAAAGGATGGTTTTTTAAATTTAAGGACCTTACACTAATTTAATTAAAGGAAAATTCTTGCTTTCAACGGTGAAGATTCACCGTTATTAAAAAATTGACAACTCATTTATTTTTATAAAAAGTCACTGTTTCCCATTATCAAACATTGAAGGATGGTAAAGATAAGATTACTTATTTAAGTTAAGAAGCCAAATTGGTAAATATTATATTTTAATTAAGCATACCTCTAGAAAAGTTGGGGTAATTAGAAATGGCTATAATTATTTTGAAAAATTGAGCAGGTTCTGTCGGAGTTGGCGCCGTACGTTGTACTGGCAGAGAAACTGGGGCGGATGGCGGTGCAGCTGGTGGCGGGAGGGAGCGGTATAAAGTCAGTGAAAGTAGTATACAAATCAGGGCGAGCCCCAGACGACTTGGACACAAGGCTCCTCCGAGCGATGATCACAAAGGGCATAATCGAGCCCATATCGGACAGCCACATAAACCTGGTGAACGCGGATTTCACGGCCAAGCAGAAGGGGCTGCGGATAAGCGAGGAGCGCGTGATGGTGGACGCGCCGGAAGAGGACCCGGTGGAGTCGATCCAGGTAATGGTGTCCAACGTGGACTCCAAGTTCGCAAGCGCCGTGACGGAGAGCGGCGTGGTGGCGATCGAAGGGAAGGTGAAATTCGGGGTGCCGCACCTGAGACTCGTGGGGTCGTTCGAGGTGGACGTGAGCCTGGAGGGGAATTTGATTCTGTGCCGCCAGCTGGACCAGCCGGGGATGATCGGACGGGTGGGAAACATTCTGGGAGAGAGTAATGTGAACGTGAATTTCATGAGCGTGGGGAGGACGATGAGAAGGAAGAGGGCGATCATGGCCATTGGAGTGGACGAGGAGCCCAATAAGGACACTCTCAAGAAAATTGGCCAAGTTTCCGCCATTGAAGAGTTCGTCTTCCTCAACCTATGAGTCAAACCAACGACCTAAGTCGCATCCGACATGTCGTCCCCTAACTCTGTACTTTTTTTTATTTGGTCGTCGTTCGTTGTGTAATACTAATAAATAACTAATAAGGCAGTTGGGAGTTGGAGGGAGGAGTCGCCGTGTTGTGCTATGTTGGTTGTTGGCTTTTTTTTTTTTTTTTAATTAGATTAAGAAAAGTGGAGATGAGATGAATACTTAGACTTTTGGGATGATAATTGATGTTTTATCCATTGGAATTTTCAATAATATGAATCCACACATGTATTAAGTTAATGTATTTTTACTATTTAATTAGATCGAGATATGTGATTTAATTATGTGTAAGTTTTGGTTTAACGAAATAATTATAAAATGATTATGGTCAAAATGTATAGATACCATGAAATAATTTTCAATATCAAAGCGTTGTGATCGATTAGTGGTTTTTTGTGGATTACACAGGGCTTATGGTCTCCAAGTCAAAAAAACTTCATTCTTCTCTTATCCCTTAGAGAGAGAAAAGGAAAATGTATTCTTCGTACCGTGGAAATCCATGTTAATTTGGAACGAATCACTCAACAACGTTCAATTATGTTCAAATACGCTTCCATTTCTTTGGTATTAATTCTCTTGAGTTGGAATGAGAACTCAATCCATGGATCTGAAGTTTTTTATTTTAATTTTTGCTAACATTACAATTTAGTCTCACGCACATCCAACCACGTTTAATAATTTTTCTATATATATTTTTTTAATTATTGTGTACAATGAAATGAATGTTACACATGTGAGTGGTGTTTTTTTTTAAAATGGGAATTGTATTTGTTTCAAAGTCGTCACATCCGGTGGATCGGGGTCGAATTAATATCACTTTCTTTTTTTTTATGAAAAAATTACTGTTTTTTTATTAGGATAAAAGTTTACACCTCTCACCTTAAACAAAGGAGTAGATTACTTAATCATCGCGTTGTGCTCCCATTGGTCGAAAATTACTGTCGGAGAGATTTAAAAAAATAAATATAAATTTTTCTTTTAAACTGAACACAATTTTTTTGGCAGACATGTAACTAAAATGACCTAATTTTACACTTAAAGTAAATTGTTTTAATTAAAAGTTTGTCATTCTTTTGATACATGTATTGGATGATCTAGGATAGTGAGAGACAATAAAAATGGGTCCATAAAATGAGGCAGTGGTTGAGAGTGTGAATAGGAATCCAATTCGACTATTTCTATTTCTATTTCTGTTCACGAAACAAAGAAAAAGGCTTGACTTTCTTCTGTGTTCTCCCCCCTAAAAAAATGTGGATGTAAATTTTTTATATTTAAAATAAATGGTTGTCATTAAATTTGAATTTTACAGTAGAAAAAGGTATTTCCTTTTTAACATATTTCAAATTCCCGAGTTTATAAATATAAACTTTTAAACAATGCCTAATATTTATTCAATGACTATCTGAATCAAGAGTTATTGGCAGTTTTACAATAACTAACATTACAAAAAATTCTCACGACATTCAATTCTCTGCCATTTCCGCTTTCCACTTCAAATTCCTCAACCCAATTCCCTTCTCCATTATCTTCTGCATTTCTTCTTCTTCTCACGCACTCTGAATCTGGGGTTCATTCTTATGCAGCTGCAGCTTCTTTTCCGCCATTTCTTCTCACTGGTATGCTTCTCTTTCCCTATTTATGTCCTCTCTGCTTTATCCTCCGATGGGTTGGCTTTATTATCACTCCGAACCCACTGGACTTCCCACGCTCATTTAATCCCTATTTGGAATGCCTCCGATTCCACTCCCTGTTCTTGGGCTGGGATCGAGTGCGATCCAAACCATCGCGTCGTCACCTTCAACCTCTCTGGC